GGGGAGGGGAGACCCCTGCTGAGCCCCGGCCAGCCCTGTCTGCCAGGGCATCACAGCCTGGGCTTGCAGGACCATGGTCCCGACCAAGGAGGGGCAGGGTACACTTGTCTACTTGAGCCCCCACCACCCGCCCTTGGTCCACCATACCTGGTGACTTGGTAACAAGACCTCAACCCCCCTAGCAGGGAATGTCTTCTTTTTTTTTTAAGATTTATTTATTTATTTGACAGAGAGAGACACAGCGAGAGAAGGAACACAAGCAGAGGGCGTGGGAGAGGGAGAAGCAGGCTTCCCGACCATCAGGGAGCCTGATGCAGGGCTCGATCCCAGGACCCTGAGATCATGACCTGAGCCGAAGGCAGACGCTCAACGACTGAGCCACCCAGGTGCCCCAGGGAATGTCTTTTCTGCCTGAGTTTTGTTCAATGTTATTCTTTCTGCCCTGAAGCCTCTCCCCCCAGCCTTTTTTTTTTTTTATTTGAGATACAGGAAGAAAAAGCACGAGCAGAGCAGCAGGGAGGGGCAGAGGGAGAGGGAGAAGCAGACTTCCCGCTGAGCAAGGAGCCTGACACAGGGCTTGATCCCAGGACCCTGGGATCACACCTGAGCCAAAGGCAGACATTTAACTGACTGAGCCACCCAGGCACCCCGAGCCTCTCCCCTTTAATTCCCCCAGCCCCAAGAACAGTTCTGAGGAGCCCCTGCCAAGAGAGCAGCTGGGTAGCCCTTGCATTCTGTTACACATCCCTAGCCTGGAGCCTCGAAGACCAAGGCCGAAACCTCCCCCTCCACATCTCCCTGAGCTGGAACCCCATTAGCAGGGTCTGGGCCTCTGTAACACCACGGACCCCAGCCCTGACCCCCTACCTAGAGCAGCAGATGGTTCCCACGCTGTGTGTGTGCCCAGAGCCCTGAGCCACACAGGCCACCTTGCCAGCCTTGTTCATCCTCCAGATACAGATGCTCTGATCCTGGGAATCAAACGGGTGAGGACAGAGGCGGGGCTGGGCTTCCTCCACTGGGACCCATACCTCCACACAGCTCCAGATGACTCACCTTGGCACAGCTGGCAAAGAGCCACCCCTTCCGGAACACGTCCAGGGCCAGGACAATGTCTGGGAGAAAGTAGAGAGAAAATGGCCATCAGTTACAGTAAAGGAGGGCATTCTAGTCCAGGATAGAGTGCTGGGGGCATCAGCTCAGCTCCCTGACCTGTGTGGCTGTGGAGAATCTGGCAGGCCATTGTCTGCAGCTCAAACACTTTCAGGCTGGGGCTGTTGGAGGCCACGACAATGTGGGAGTCCTCGGGCCCAAGAAACCGGACGTCCAACACCTCCTCGCTGTAGCCGGCAAACTGTGGGGGCGGGGGCCAGAGGGACACAAGCCAGAGCCTGCATGAGTGGAGGGCTGGCAGCCCCACCTCCGGGCTGAGCAGGGGCAGCGCTCACCTGTTTCTGCAGCCGCAGGGAGTGGGCCTCGTAGAGCAGCAGGTTATGGTCGGCAGTGACAGCGAGGAGCAGGCCGGCACGGTGGGCCAGAGCGCAGTGGGTCAGCTCCTGCCCGGGGCCTGGCAGCCGCCGTTGTATACACACGCACTGCCCAGAGGCTGCCTCCCACACGCGCAGCAGGCCTGTGAGGGGACGCGGGCTGCTGGCACTCCAGTGCACGGACCTCCCCCAGCCTCTGCTGCCCACCCTGGCCTGGACACACATACCTTGGTCTCCGGCTGTCAGGAAGTGCAGGCCCTTGGACTTCACACCCAGCCCAGGTGCTGGCTCCTCTGGCAGCAGCACGGCCGCCTCCACACTCTGAGGGTAAGCGGGTCAGAGGCAGCAGCCCACCCTCCCCCTGCCCCCTCGATTGGCCCGGCCCCCTGGCATTCCCACCTCAAACACTGGCACCGTCCTCGTAGCCTGGTGGCTCCGCACGTCCCAGATGACACAGATCTTGTCACGGCCTGAGCTGGGGGGCGGGGGGGACAGCCACCTCAGTCCTCAGCTTCAGCTGCAGCCCTCCCCTTCCTGCCATGGCCTGGGTGGCTGGCCGCTGACCTAAGCATGGTGTGGCCATCAGTGCTAAAGGTCAGTGAGGTGACGGCACTGTAGTGGGCAGTCATCACGGCCAGGCACGACTGGTCCTGAAGCGACCACGCGCGGATGGTGGCGTCTGCAGCTGAGGAGAAGAGCAGCAGGCGTGCGGGGTCCGGGTGGAAGGCCACCAAGCTGCGGGTGGTGGGGGGGGTGGCAGGTGAGTTGTGCGCCCCTGGGCATAAGGCCCTGTCCACCCTCTGCTGCCCTCCACTCACTGTACAACCCCTGGCGAGCCCCGAAAGTGGTGTGTCCCATAGTGCCGCACAATGTCCCAGACACGAACTGCCCCGTCACAGCCGCCTGTGGGAACGTGTTCAAGGTGAAGGGGCTGGTGTGCCTGAAGACCTCTGACTGTGTGCCCTCCGGGGGCCCATCCACCCAGCCAGGGCCCTACCTGTGGCTAGCAGTGTGGAAGTGGGGTCAAATGCCATGGTGGCCACAGGGGCTGTGTGTATCGCCTTCCACAGGCGGGTGATATTGCCCTCTCGCCAGGCCCAGTGAGCCAGAAGCAGTGCCCTGCTGGCTGTTACCAGCACCTAGAGAACGATGCAGTTCAGCTGGGAGGGGAGAGGCACGGCCACATGTCCTCAATGGCTCAAAGTTTGGCTGAGAGGTACCGAAGCCCGCCTCCTATCCCTGCCCCGTATACCTCGTTGTCAGGGCTGAGATCAAAGGCAGTGATGTCCTCCTGGTCCTCCTAGAGGTGAGAGTTAGCACACAGAGCACCATGAGAACGGACTGCCCTCCACACTAGCCCCTTGCCCTGGCTCTCCCCACCCTCACCTGCTCCAGGCTCCGCAGCACGGCCCCTGAGGCCACATCCAAGATGTTGACTTTGGTACCACAAATGCAGAAGAGATGCTGCCCAGTCTGGTCCAGCTGGTGACAGAAGGGTCTCAGCCAAGATAACTCTGTGCAGCCCCTGCCTGCCCCACCACTCTGCCCCTCCCTGGGCTGGTACCTGCACCTTCCCGCCCTTGTAGAAAGGCTCGATCTTGCGCTCCACAGCATAGCTAGAGAGAGAACAGGAGGAGAGAGTGAGTCACCCACCCCTTGGTCCCCAGTGCCCAGCTCTGTGCTGGGTGCTCTCCCAGAGCTCAATCCAAAAGGCCCCTGCCTTGAGGAGTTCCCAGGCAGAGGCGGGGATGCAGGAGATTGGAGATGGCTCTTCTCACTGTCCTCTCTCTGCAGCACTGTGAAGTGGGTGTCACAGAGGATGCGAGACCCAGAACTGGGCAGTGATGCACACCAGGTTCTGAGGCAGTACCAGCAGTGTGACACCCCTGTCTTCCCAGATTCCCCCAGAGTGGAGTAGGCCAGACCTCAGGGGCCCTCTGCTGGCGGCGGGAGGCCAGCCCAGGGTACCAGCCCAGAGCAACACCCCCTCAACAGCTTCCTTCTCAGCTGCAGCCTGCCCCCTCCTCAACCCTAGCTCTTTCCTCCCACTCCCCAAGTAGCCCTCATTTCTGCAGCCTCATGCTGTCCTCATCCCTCCCCTCTCGGCTGCCTCCGCGGTGGTCCAGGCCACCACACGCTCATCTGGACAGCCACTCCAGCCTCTTCACCAGGCCCCCTCTCTACCATCTCAAACCCTGCTGCCAGAAAGACCTTTCCAAACCTAAGTGTTTTACCCTGTCTTAAAACCCTCTCCTCTCCTTATGTGTTTCTAAGACCCTGACTTGGAGGAGCCTCTGCTATCCTTTTGTGTCACACAGGCTATTCCCCATATGTGGCTTGGGTCTCTCTTCCCGGATTTCACTGGTGCCTAACTCCACTAGGGGAGGCTTGGCTACCAACATGAAATGGAGCCCCCAACCGTGGCGCCCTGGTGACTATGCCACAGAGACGCTCTTGACCCCAGGCCTTCCCTTTGGTATTGCTCATCACTCCCACTGATGAAAATGAGCTGCTTAGTATGCTTATCCCATGAGACCGTGCTCACCGGCAGGGAGGAGTCCATCCCGTCCTGGGCCCTAAGCACTTAGATGTTCACCAGAGTCCTTGGGGAACTGAATCAGCCCAGGATTCAGGGTCTCCGGAGCCACAGCAGACCGCCCATCTCCTGACCTCTCTTCCTGCTCCATGTCGAAGACGGACAGGAGGTGAAAGCCCCCGGCTGCCTGCCCAGAAGTGGTTCTTCTCCCAGTACCTGAGGGTGGGGGCCTCCCGCTGTGGTTCAGGACCAGCCTCCACCTGCGCTCAGCCCGCTCCTTCCTCCTCTAGAATTTTTCACCCACAACCCCCAAACCAGCTCCTAATTTAATAACCGACGCTGGCTCTCTCACTTTGTAATAACGCAACCAACACGACTCCCGCGGGCCAGTTCGTACACCGCCCTCAGGCTCTGCCCAGACCCGAATGGGCGCCCGGTTCAGGGCGGGCACATTTGCCACTGGGGCTGCGAACCCCGCTCCCTCCCTGGGTGGCACCCACAGCCGTAGCGCCCCAGCTCACTTGGCCTTGAAGCGGCCCACTCCCGCCACGGGCTCCGCCATGTCGCCGCCGCGTGAGGGAAACAGAGGCGCCACTTCTCACTGCCGGCGCGCCGCAGATGGCGTCACCGCCCACGACTACTGTTACGCCATCAGTTGCGCGCTCGGCGCCATCTTTGCTGTGGGCAATGCCTGCTGTGGCAGGAAGCGGAAACTGGTGGAGGCGTTTCTGGCCTGGAGGAACCGGTGTAGAGCCGCCTGGAGGCGGCTGGGGCTTCTGGGGCGGAGGGCTGCAGGACACGGGGTTTGCCCGCTGTTTGCCTTTTAGTGGAAATTTTAAAAAAGGAGTCGTAGGAAATGTTTACTAAAGTCATCCCGAGACCCTTGCCCCTCGGCCTTCTGGGATTTGGGTACAAGCGCAGTCAGGTGCTCATGGTCTGGTGTGATATATATCGCAGGTAAATGAATAAATCGGGTAACTTCAGAGACTCTCAAATATTTATTGATCACATTCTATGTGCAAAGCACTGTTGTAGACATTTGGGAGGCACAAGAGCAGGAGGTGCTAGAGGAGAGAGGGCTGGCGGAGGACGGGCAAGGAATAATCGGGAGCGTTCAGCGATTAGTGCTGTAGAAAGAACAGATCAGGGTAACGGGCTTTTAAATGGGGTGGTGGGGGAGGTAAGGTGTCGCCTGAGTGAGTAAAGCGGGGATCCCTGTGGCTGTTTGGGGGGACAGTGCTTGTGGCTACAGGGAGTACTGAGACGATAGGGGCAGGAGGTCAGAGATAATGGCAGTTCCCTGAGTCATTGTGAGGCGTGGGCTTTTCCTAGGAGTTCAGGGTTTTGAGCTGTTTGTGTGACTGGCTGGGAAGTTGGTTAACAGACAGGTAGAAGTAACAGGAAGGAGACTGGGAGGGTTTCAGGGATAACCTCTGCGAGGAAGAGGTATCTGAGGGACAAGAAACCAGGCAAACGGAGAGCAGGGAGAAGAGCCTTGCAGGCAGGAGCGGCCCAGGGAGAAAGGCCAGTGTCCCTGCGTGGTGAAGGCAGTAGTGCCTGGGGCGGGGCGGGGCGGGGGTGGGGGTGGCAAATGGGATAAAGCTGTGAGGCCGGCAAGCACAGAAGTGGCAGGGCGGGCCAGGCCTGGGCTCTGCGTTTATTTACCCCTCTGTTTACAAGGTACCGTGGCCCTGGGCCCCCCACACCTCGGCCCCAATGCTGCCTTCTGGGGTGGCCTCGGACTCCCCTTGCGGGGCGCCCACGAGCAGCGCGTCGTCCTCCTCCAGGAAGTCTCCGAGCTGGGCCAGCTGCCTGCGGATGAGATTGGTGGTGCGGTGCACTTTGCGCATGCGCCGCAGCAGGCCCAGCACCAGGGTCCGGCTGCGCTCCTGACGCTGGGTCCAGGCGTCGCGCAGCTCACGGTAGCAGTTGTGGCGTGCACGCTCCACCGGGCCCAGGGCGGCCCCACAGCCCAGTGGGCAGCGCTGCTGGGCCCCACGTTGGCAGTGCTGCCAGTGCTCAGCCAGGGCCCCACGTGGCACCCGTGCCGTGCAGCCCTCATTGGGGCAGGCCATCAGCTCGAAAGGGCATGAGTCCTGGTGCCCCCTTCGATGGGCCAGGGGGCACGTCACCAAGCAGCCAGCTTCCGCGTTCTTGCACTGAGGGTGGGGGGAGAGCACCATGTGAGCCAAACCAGGTCAGACGTGGCCAGCACTGGAGCAGCCTACTTTACCCAGAATCCCCCATTCGGGATGTTCCTAATCCGGGAGCCTGCCAAGCCCTAATGGCATCAGTGATATGGAGAGGGAAGAATCTAGACCTCTGAGACCAGGTGCACAGGGCCAAAGGCTTGAGGGATGGGGGGTGGGGGGAGGTACATGGCTGGGTTGATCTTGCAGTTGTACACAAGCCAAGTTTGTCTGTTTTTTTTTAAACCTCAGTTTCCTCATCTATAAAATTAAGGGACTGGGGTGGTGGCCAGCACAGCAGACACTTCATCCTCTAAAAATCTTGTATAATCCCCATTTTACAGCTGAGGCCCCAGGGGCTCAAAAAGGTTAGGTAACTTGCCCAAAGTCATACAGCAAGTAAGTGGTAGAGATGGGACTCAAACTCAGGCAGGACTGATGACCCTGAGGCTGCAGTCAGTGTTGCTGGAGCAGAAACCCTCAGTTCTTTTTGAGGATAGGATTCTCCTTACCCTCTCCTGGCTCTGTCCCTCCCCTGGCAGGAGCGAGAAGGGCGCTGGGAGTGGGTGCTTCAAGCTACCTTGACTTCCAGGCGGCCGATGGTCCTCCGGAGTTTATTTACATGGACCATCTTTTTCCATTTCACCTCTTTCCTGCAGCATGGACAGGTCTTCTGTCTAGGAGGCAGGAGGAGGGGGGTGGGCAGTGTTGGGAGTGGAAAGGGACCAAGAGACAGCAACACGCCTTCCCAGGTGGTCCCTTCTCTCAAGCTGGAAGAGGCCTGAGTACTTCCTGGGGAACTCAGCTCTGAGGTTGGGGCCATGGGCTGTAAGTACCCCAGGGTGCAGGGACACACGTACTTTAGTGTCCTAGATTTGGAAGCTCTTATGCCCACTGTGACCTAATGCTTGGCCCACCTTCCTCTGTTCTGCGCCACAGGGATGGACACAGCCCTGCCCTTGTCCTCCCAGCCTCTTGGGTGCCCACTAGCACCTGGCTAGCCACCGGAGGATGCATTTCTTGCAGAAGATATGGCTGCATGGCAACCTCACTGGCCTCTTGAGAACCCCGTGGCACACGGAGCACAGGAAGTTGCAGTCGGGAGGGCTGGCGAAGAGGTTGAGATCATATCCGCCACTCTGCAAGGGCCAGGCCAAAATCAGTGCCTGGCTGAACCAGGTTCCAGCTACATACCCCAGGGAAACCCCAGGATGGGGAGGTGGGCCCCCCAAGTGGAGGGTTGGGTCAGGACCCACTTTGAGGGGGCAGCTGTGAGGGTCAAGGCCTTCCAAGACTACCAGTCCCCAGCTGGAGAAGCTGGCCTTGGTCTGGAGTTAGACGTGGCCAGAACCCTTGCAAAGGTTGGTTTCCTTGTCTTGGGGAGCCTGTAACCCACTGTTCACCCTTTCTCAGAGTGAGGAATGGGTTCCAGCTCTGGACAGGTCTCGATTTAGGAACACATTTAAGGGCCAGAGGCAAAAGGGTCCCAGGCTCACCATGATTTGTGTCTGGACAGCAGCTCCACTGACCCCCAGGGCTCAGGAGCCTCCATTTCACAGTAGGAGTGGACCGACCTCACAGTGGCATTGTCCAGCTCAGGCCAATCACAGCCCTGGCTCAGGGCCCACTGGGATCCTGTACCATCTGGCCCTTGCTCAGAGTTGAGGGATAGGTAGTCTGGACCTGGGGCGGGTCCCTGAAGGCCCCGTCTTGGGAGTGGGTGATAGCTGATCCCCAAGCAGCACTAGGCTGGGAACTAAACTTCTGAGGACTCTTTCCCCAAAGCTGAGGCTTTGGCAGGAATGTAGGAATCATTCCTTTTTCCCTCCTCAAAATAGTGCTGCCCAGGCCAGATCTCCAAAGCCCAGGGACTTTTGACATCGACCCACCATCAGGTCTCCTAGGATCTAAGACTCATGGCGCTAGCTCCAGAGTACAGATCGGAGGGAAGTGAGGACCAAATTCCCATGCAACCTGTGGTACCACCATAGTGGGGGGCCTAGTATGTGGGAAAGCTTTCCAGAACAGGTAGGCTCTGACGATGTGGGCAAGCCTCTGAGGAGACATGGGGAAATCAGTCTCCACCTGGGAAACCAGCAATGTTCCCACACATGAGGCAGATAATATAGAACTGCACGTTCAGTAGCACCGAATACCAAGGTCACCAAATCCTATCCCAGACCCTATCCCCCTCCTGAGAGCAATATGGGGCCCATGCAAGCCCTTGAGCTGGGAATCTTACACTCTCATTCTTGGGTTAACTTTAAAAATAAGAGTCCATTATTTCACTGGCAAAAGTGTGTTTATTTGGAAATAACCAGAACTGCAATTCAGGACATGCAAAAAGACTACAAGCAAGCCCCCAACAAACAAAGGAAAGGAACTTTATTTCATGGAGAAAGAAAGTTGGGAGGGATTGAAGTCCCCTGGAGAAAAGCAAGAGTTCAGAGTGATGACAGTTTCTCACAGGCTGAGTTGCAGGAGTAATCAATCCCTACATCCTTCCCTGTTGGGGTCTGTAATTGATGTTGAGCAGCAGAGCTCCCCCTTCTAGCCTTCCAACTCCACCTTAGGGATGTTTCCCTTCATTGTCACACTCGCTAGTGGGTTGGTGACCCAGCTCAAAGGTACTTTATCTGCTACTGTGGAAGCTATTTGGTGTGTGAAATACACCAGGGTTTCAAATCTGGCCCTGCCACTCACGGGATGCCACGGAGTCACCTGCCAGCCCCTGGGACCCAAGTTGTACCCCTCTGTGGCATCCGACGCGGAATCCGGCAGGCCGGCAAGGTGTCCCATAGGGTCTCCCCTCCACTGCACACCTTGCTCCCCGCGCCCACAGATGCACCTCCAGGCGGATGGGTGGGGGGCCAGGAACACCCAGACATGCAGGACTCACATGGACAACTTCACTGGGCGTTGGGAGCAGAGCTCCCCTCTCCCCGCGGTCCTGGCGGCGTGGGCCTCACGGTCGGGGCGTCGGCGTCCTGCGGGCAGAACACGGGGTCAGGGATCAGAGGCCAGAGGCCAGAACACACGCGGGCCGGGGCCGGCGGGGCGCGTGTCGGGGCCTGGGTTTCACCTGCCCACACGGACGAGTGGGCGGTGAGCTGAGGCCCCCGGTGGCTGTAGGCGCCGAATCTCACCCGCGGCCACGGCCAAAGCCGCGGGTGATTTTCAACCAACGCCGACCTCCCAGCTACCATCCAGGGACGCGGCGGGGCGCGGGCCTACCCGCAGTACCGGGTAGCTGGGCCGCCGCGGCGCCCACACTCAGAGCCGCACACGCGCAGTCGCACGCGGAGCGCGGGGAAACCCAGGAGTGCGCTTCCACGGTTCTTATAGGCCCGTGGCGAACTCGCGCCTGGGGCGGGGCAGCCGAGATCTCGCGGCACTTGGCCGTGGTATAAATACTCCCTCCGCGCGGCCTCGGCCTTCTTCTCCGAGAAAACACGTGAGTTTACGTGGTGGTTGGTGCGTGCGCGGGCCGGGGAGCCAGGGGTACGCGGCCATCTGGCGGGGCTCGGTCCGGCGCGTTGGCGCTTCTGGGCGGGAGCCCTGGCCCCGGGCGGCCGCAGGTGCCAGGGCCTCGCTGACTGGTCCATTCTCGATGTTCTTTTCAGCAAATGGCGGATGACGCCGGTGCTGCGGGAGGGCCCGGAGGGCCCGGGGGCCCTGGAATGGGAGGCCGCGGCGGCTTCCGCGGAGGCTTCGGCAGCGGCATCCGGGGCCGCGGTCGCGGCCGTGGTCGGGGCCGGGGTCGAGGCCGTGGAGCTCGCGGAGGCAAGGCCGAGGACAAGGAGGTAGGTTCGGGCCCTTGCGCGTGAGACGGGCCCGTGGGCGGCGCCGATCGGGCGACCGTAGTTATCGGCGCCTTTTCCCCCTCCAGTGGATCCCCGTCACCAAGCTGGGCCGCCTGGTCAAGGACATGAAGATCAAGTCCCTAGAGGAGATCTATCTCTTCTCTCTGCCTATCAAGGTAACGAGGGGGTCCTCCCCCCGCCCCACCTCCGGACAGGGCGTTGGCAGGTGGAGTCCCCGGGAGGCTCATTTGGCCTTGGGTCCAGGGATGGGATCTGTCCACCCCGGCCAAGGCTCCACGTCTGAGGAGGGTGTGAGTGCCTAGGTGCCCTATCTCTGACTTAGGGTATTCGACTTGGAGACAAAATGTGGACAGTTGAAAAACTAGTTCTAGGATCCGGGTGGAGGTTATCTAGGGAGAATGGTTACAGATGGTTCCTGAGCTTTCTAGTGAACGGTTTCGTTGCAATCTCTCATCCCATAGGAATCTGAGATCATTGATTTCTTCCTGGGAGCATCCCTCAAGGACGAGGTTCTGAAGATCATGCCTGTGCAAAAGCAGACCCGTGCTGGCCAGCGGACCAGGTTCAAGGTATCCTAGTCACCTTGTGTGTTCCTGGGCTGCACCTGCCAAGGGGCTGGGTGAGACTCTCTCAGCTCTGCATGGTCACGCTTGTCACTACACGCGTGGCTTTCGTAATGGGGAGAGAGAGAAAGGATCTCCTCGGGACCTCAGAGTGGCCTCACGGTGGCCACTCTTTCCTCGAGGGGCGCCACAGGCCCAGTTGGTGGCTGTTGGTGGCTGCTGGTGCCGTGCCGGCCAGCGGACTCCTAACCATGTCAGGTTCCTCACAGGCGTTTGTTGCCATCGGAGATTACAATGGACACGTCGGCCTGGGTGTCAAGTGCTCCAAGGAGGTTGCCACTGCTATCCGTGGGGCCATCATCCTGGCCAAGCTTTCCATCGTCCCCGTGAGGCGAGGCTACTGGGGGAACAAGATCGGCAAGCCCCACACTGTCCCATGCAAGGTAGGCTTGGGGGGTGGGGGGGTGATGGGGCCTGCGGTGGTGCCGATTCCCCCTAGGCCATCTCCTGACTCCTCCACGTTTTGCAGGTGACTGGCCGCTGTGGCTCTGTGCTGGTGCGTCTCATCCCCGCCCCCAGAGGCACTGGCATTGTTTCAGCCCCTGTGCCCAAGAAGCTACTGATGATGGCCGGTATTGATGACTGTTACACCTCGGCCAGAGGCTGCACTGCCACCCTGGGGAACTTTGGTAGGTGGCCCTCATAGCTCAGCTTAATCATACTCAGTGTATGCTTGGCGTATTTTGAGAGAGAGGAAGGCCTTCCTAAGGCACGGCAGACTGGCCCCAAGTGGCCTCTCTGTCCCTAGGAGCGCAACATCTTCTGTTTGTATCTGGGGTGTTGTGTCCTGTGTATCTGCCAACCTTCTCTTTTCTCTCTTCCAGCTAAGGCTACTTTTGATGCCATCTCCAAGACCTACAGCTATCTCACCCCTGACCTCTGGAAGGAGACGGTGTTCACCAAGTCTCCATATCAGGTACTGGCTGCCCAGCCACCCCCTTAGCCTGGACAGGTGCACAGGGTGCTGAGGTGTGGCTACAGCTAAAGCCTTGTCTCTTTTTCTAGGAATTCACTGACCATCTTGTGAAGACCCACACCAGAGTTTCTGTGCAGAGGACCCAGGCTCCAGCTGTGGCCACCACCTAGTTTTATACAAGAAAAATAAAGTGAACTAAAGCTTGTTAGTAGTGCCTTTTGTGTATTTCTCTTACGAGCTTAGTTGTAGCTGGATTTAAAGGGAGATGGGACCAGTGAGGTCAACAGGTCCAGGTTGGGGACTAAAGGTGACACCAAAAACAGGTTTCTTAATTACTCTTTATTTTAATAGTCATCTTGTGAAGGTGCTCAAGGAGCTGCTTTAGGCAGTGGCGGCCTCTTTAGCTGCCTTCCTCTCTGCCAACATCCGCTGCTTCTGTTTTGCCAGGCACTTCCTGGCAGAATAATGAGCCCCCAGGTCGTGATCTGGGAAAGAGATAGGGGGAGGGAAGTCATGGGCCAAATCTACCAGGATACAGACCAGAGTCTTCTTTAAAAGTGGGGAGGAAAAAGCTAAGATACTGAGCAGAAAAGGGATCTGGGATACAGTGATTCTCTTAACCACTCTCTCCCCCAACCAACTGGCACAATTTGGGCAGTGAAGTTAGCGTTGAAGGATCAGGCCAGGGTGGGGGCTTGCTTACAGCGGTCCTGGTAGGCCTTGGCCACCTGGGTGAACTGCTCCAGCTCCTTGGCACAGTTCTGCCTATAGCTCTCACCTTCCCTCTGCTGACAGGCCTTCAGCCTTTCCTGGATAATGTTGACGATTTCTTGATCAACTTTACTGAAGAAAAAAAAAAAAAAAAGGCAGTTTACGAGGAATCCTTTCCCTGTACCCAGAGATAGCAGAATGAAAACAAGACCTTAGGGCCCTGTTGTCTGGCCCCTCCACCCTCAAGATCTGGGCAAACCCCAGGAGGCCTTCTTGGTGGCTGACCATCATCCCATGGTATCCCTGGGGGATAAGAGCCCAACAGAGGTGCTCACTGAGTGAGGCTCAGTGTTTCCTAAGGGACACACACAGGCAGGACATACTAGTCTCTTTTCCATTGCATTTCTGCTTCGAACATGCACAAGATATCCTTTTCCCGGCACTCGGTGACGTCTGGCACACGGCGGAACTCCCGGTGATAGTAGTAATACCTGTTCTTCGCGTGCTGCCGTTCTATAAACTCTGTAAAGAAAAAACCCCAGACTCAAAAGGCCCTGTTGGTTTGGACAGGCCACAGAAATTGCTCTTAGCTCTCTTCTTTCTCACAAGCCACGGAAGGGGCAGACTGCTTTTACAAACACTGCTAATTAGACTCTCAAAGAACAGGTGTGGCTGGTTGTCCTGGGTTACTAATGGTGAGGTCCACCGTTTATGGTTTACGGAGGGCTTCCTGGGAGCCAGGCACCATGAGTATTACACCAGGGGTAGCTCCCAGTAGAGTACGTAGGCCCAGAGAGAATTCAGGATTCTGAACCCATGCTCTGCAAGCCCACACCCTTCTATAGGTCCTACCTGCTGGCCAACCTCCCCCACAACACAGGGTCTTCCCATGTAGGCAGAGGCCCCAAGCCAGTTTTGCTGCCACTGACCTTCTGGCCTCAGCATCCCCACCCAGAAATTGATAAGTTGGAACCAGTGAAATCTCATCTTTCCAGACACATAAAACACTTTCTAAGAAACAGTGGGTTCACTGCTGTGCCTTTTCCAGATTTGGGGTTCTGATCTGCTGACTTTATCCTAAGAAAGGAGCCACCGGGGCATCGCAGCACGTGGGTGGCTGGGTTGTTTGAACGAATGAATGAGTTAAATGCATGGATGAACTGCCAGGCAATAGTGACTGAGGGCAGAGCGTGCTCCTGCTGCTGCCTCCACTGGGCTAGCTGAATAACAAACTGGGCCACAAAGAGCGGTTTTAAACATCTGCCTGGTTTGGACCAGAGATGGGATCTGGACAGTTCTTAAGCATAAGCACACACGGAGTACAAGTCACAGCACATCTAGGTTGAGGGAACCTCGGCCAGCACTTGACCACCCCGGTCATTTTGCAGCAGGTGTGCAGAAGGCTGGCAACACCCGTTTGCTGACTGCCTTCTGTGCACAACGTGGGATGCAAAGCGTGCAGGGAGAATGGGGTTTAGCAAGCCCCAGGCTAGACTGCGATCCGCTAATATTTGGGCGAGGCCGGAGACCAGGGGTGTGTGGAGGGTTCCCCAGGCGGCGGGGGCCGGAAAGCAGTGAGTGGTCTTGGTGTAGGAGTGAGGGGCGTTCCTAGAGTGCAGTGAAGGTGGGGGGCGGGGGGGTCCAAGGAGGCGACGCCGCCCGCAGGTGCGGGCGGCGGGGGATGGTCACGGGGGCGAAGCCCGGGGTTGGGCGAAGGGGTGCGGGGATCGCCGAAGGGCGGCGAGGGGCCCTGGGGAGCGGCGAGGCCCGGATAGGGTCCGTACCTCTCGCTAGGGTCACGGGCCGGTCCACGAGGAGGTCGAAGGCCTTCGTCAAATAGGTTATGGGGTTGGGCAGCGAGGTCTGCGGCGAGGGCGCCGGCGTGCGGCGCGGGGGCTCGGGGTACACGTCCTTGTCCCAGCTGTCCGGCATGGCGGCCGCGCGCAAGGGGTATCCACTCCCGGACGCACAACCCCGGCCTCTGCCAGGATCCCACGGCCTAGTTCGCCCGCCGCAGAGGACGCCCTCCGGGGCTGCGCCTGCGCGGGATGGGGGGGGCGGTGCTCGCGAGGCACCATGGGACTTGTAGTTCCCTCGGCCCGCCCAATGATGGGCCGCGGCATCATTGCGCACGCTCCCCTTCGGTCCCACGTCCTTTGTGCTGGGCGCTGCTCTCGGCGGGTGGGATACTCTGGGGAACGAAGCAGAGGCTCTTGCTGGCATTCCTTTTTCTTTTCTTTTTTCCTTCCTGCTTACATTCTAAGACAAGACAGACACAGGAATAAGTAAACCATTCAGCTTTCTTGGTGCACAGGCACGTGGCAAGTGCAGCAGGGAGCAAGATGAACACAGCTGAGCTCTTCTGGAGAACTCTGGCCGCTAGAACAAACAAATAACAGCATCAACAAATAACACACACTACCCAACGCTCTGCTCTTTCGGGAAACCTTCCCGAATTGCCCATTCCCTACAGCCAGCCCTTTCTGGGCTCCGCTGTGTCTTCCAGGGCCTCTCATGGACAGGCTAATGCCACTGAGCTTAGGGGTCCTGTGTGGGGCAGAGCAAGAGGCAGGGCTTGCCCTGGGGGCCCCTGGATGCACAGTGCTCTGGTCTGGCTCTGATGGTTCTGCCCTGGCCCTGGGCACTGGTGTGCCCCCTGGTGCAGCTCCACTGACCAGGGCCCTGCTGACTACCCTCAGTGATCTCCATACCTGGCACGGCCCCTGACCAGTACCAGGGAGGGTGCTGGTCACTTCATGCCTAGAGGCTGGGGCCAGGGCAGCGGAGCCATCAACTCTATGGATGCACAGAATTGTTGATCATAGAAATGTCAAATCTTGAAATCATGAACTCTCAGAAACACACGCTGTGCAACCAAAAGAATTTTTTTAAAAAGATTATTTATTTATGTATGAGAGAGAGAGAGAGTACAGGAGCAGGGGGAAGGGGAGAGAGAGAAACAGGCTCCCGGCTGAGCTGGAAGCCTGATGCAGGACTCGATCCCAAGATCCTGGGATCATGACCTGAGCTGAAGGCAGACGCTTCACCGACTGAGCCACCCAGGTGCCCCCTGACCAAAAGAATCTTAACATTGCCCTGCAACATTGGACTGAACAAGGGAACCCAACAGATTCAGGCTGGAGCTGTGGCCACCGCCACTATGGCTCACCAGAGTAAGAGAAAGCAGAGACCTCCGTTAAGGGAAAGCCCCGGGCTGGCAGCTCTCCACTGCTACCAGGCAGCAGAGGGACTTGGAGATCATGTAGCAGAAGTGAGATGAGGCAGATGAGAGGGAGGAACCCAAGTAGCTTGTGGCTCTGTGCCGGGCCCTCTGGTTCTTGGCCTGTGCGCCTGGAGTCAGTCCCACCACAGGCCATGTGTCCTGCAATGCGCTCGGGCCCCAGCACTGGCGGCCGCATCCCCTTTGCCCTGAGTCTGCGGGCATCCCTCCCGTGCTTCCTTCCCTCAGGTAGCCTCTCTCCCCCTGGGACACTCGGGGGGCTGAGGTTTGCCCCTTCCCAGGGATTTTATTCCTGTGGGGTCCAGCCCCAAATAATAAAAGTAGCTTTGCAAGTAACAGCAGCAACAACAGAGAATTGTGACATTTGCGTTGCATAGAATCTTAGCATCAGCAAGGCAAGGCCCATAGGCCCTCAGAGGTATTTTAGGCCTGTGCAACTGATTCTCCGGGTTCAGAACTTTATAACCATATAGACTTCTTGTTCTTGGATCACAGCAGTTACCCACCCCCCCGGCACCCTGCAGTTTGTCCAGGCTGGGCTCACCACCCTCAAGACAGGACAGGAATTCCCTCCACCTCACTGCCTGCCCACTGGGCCAGACCCTCGTCACAGCAAGCCTGGAAGAAGCCCCCTCCCCAGCTGGGGTTCCTTGACTCCTTAGCAGACCAAGGTGTTCCTGTCCTGGGAGGGTAATACAAGGCAGAAAACAAAGTGGGTGTGAGCCAGTCCCAGGGTCCTTGAGGACAGGAGTGACAGGCCTGGCTCCAGGTATCCCTACCCCAGGGTGCCCATCTGATGCCCCCTTTTGCCCCACCCCAGGCTAGGCCTGCTCCTGGCTCGGGAGCCCATGCCCGCCACGGGACGTGAACAAGCTCCCCTGCCAGGGGCTAAATCTGGGAGCTGGCTGCTGTGCGTTCTGGCCCTGCCACTCGACCTCCTGCGCCTGTTGGGAGGCCCCTTCCCTTCCTGACCTGCAGGGACCGGCTGCCATGGTCAGTGGGCTGGGGGGCAGGAGCCAGCTGGCTTACTGGGAGGGGCAGGTGGGCTTCTGGAGTCTCTCCCAGCAGGGATGGTCCTTGGGCCTATGGGGGAGTAGGTGACTGAAGGGACAACAGGGGGCCAGAGCTCAGGTTGCCCGGCCTAGAATGGGCAGGAAGATGGACAGATGGCAGTGGCCCCCTGTCCCTTTAGCCCTGAGCCACAGTGTGGGCCTGTCCCTCCTGGGCCCAGCAGGCGCAGCCCACTGAAGCAGGAAACCTGTGGGTGAGGAGGGCCTGGTGCCAGCTCTGTCCGTAAGACACTGCTCCTGAGCCAACCTCCCTTCTTTCCCGTGGACTGAGGGAGGGGGGTACCGAAGACCACCGGTGCCCAGTCTGGGCTCTCTAACTCACTTCTCTGGGGCTGGGCTCTGGGCCCATCCAACCGCCCCCACCAGGGACACCCCAGCTCTGACCTCCCTCCCCTCCTACCCCCAGTCCCACCGGAAGTTCTCTGCCCCTCGGCATGGACACCTGGGCTTCCTGCCCCACAAGAGGAGCAGCCGGCACCGGGGCAAGGTGAAGACTTGGCCTCGGGACGACCCCAGCCGGCCCGTGCACCTCACGGCTTTCCTGGGCTACAAGGCGGGCATGACGCACACTCTCCGAGAGGTGCACAGGCCCGGGCTCAGTGAGTGGCTGCAGGCGGACGCATGGGGAGGGTGTGGAGCCTCCCTGCCTGCCGGGGGGATCTGGAAAGACTTCTGGAGGCTAGGAGCCAGAACTGGGGTCCAGGAGGGGAAGCAGCCCCAGAAAGGGCAACGCCCTGCCTGTGGGAGCCACAGTCAGGACACTGTCAGGGAGCCCTGACCACTGGCCACACCTTGAGGTGTGTTCTGTCCTGGCCCCCAGTTTACAGATGAGGAAATTAAGCCGTTAGGAAACTGGCCAGTTGCCCGATTAGTAAGGGCAGGAGCTACGATTCAAAGACAGATGCCCCCATATACTTTTCATTTTGAGATCAGGGTAGGTTCACATGTGGCTGTAAGGAGTAAGACAGAGGGATCCCATGCACCCTTTGCCCAGTTTCCCAATGGAAATAGCTTATAAAACTATAGCAATAGGGTCACAACCAGGTATCGACAGGGATACGACCTACCCATCCTGTTCAGGTTTCCCTGGTTGGGGTGCATGTGCATGCGCATTTAGTTCTATGGGGTTCTGCCCCCTTTAAGTGTGCTACTGTGGGACGTTCTATCCCCACAGGGGTCCTTCCTGTTGCCCTTCTAGAGCTTCAGCCACCACCCCTCCAAATTCTGGGCAACTGCCCATCTCTTCTTCATCTCTCCTCATATGTGTTTTATTTTTATTTATTTTTTAAAAATTTATTTATTTTAGAGAGAGAGAACACGCACGAGCGGTGGGGAGGGGGAGAGAGAGGCGGAGAGAATCTCAAGCAGACTCCCCCCTGAGCATGGAGCCTGCCGTCGCCCTTGTGGGGCTGGATCTCACGACCCTGAGATCATGACCTGAGCCGAAACCAAGAGTCGGACGCTCAACCGCTTGCGCCACCCAGACATCCCACTCCTAATATTTATTTTAAACAAATACTTTTACTTTGTATTAGTCTCAGAAATAACATCTACAAAATCATTGGTTCGGGACAAATAATAGGTATTTTTCTAGAGCTCATCCACACATATTCATAACTATTAAAATTAAGAATGTTCATGTGTGCTCCACTTAAGGAATCCCAATCCTACCCTTTGGGGGATGCCATGCTGGCTGTTGGCTCTCCTAGCCCATTTCCAGATGACCTGGTGGGGAAACGGAGGCAGGGAGCAGGTCAGGCCTTGTCTGAGATCTCCGAGCCAGAGTGCAGAGCACTTGAAGGGCCCTGACCAGCACCTGCTCCATGCCCAGGGCGGAGCAGAGAGGGAAGGGGCAGCGAGTGGGCAGGCTGGGGGCTGAGGTCAGTGGGGGCCCTCCCTGAGGCCGCGGTGCTCCACCCTCCCTTGGGCAGGAGGGGCTGGAGTTGGCTCTTCCCCACATGGCCCTCCTCCATGCTCCTTCTCGGGGTCTCTTCCAGAAATTTCCAAGCGGGAGGAAGTGGAGGCTGTGACGATCGTGGAGACACCGCCTCTGGTGGTGGTGGGCGTGGTGGGCTATGTGGCCACCCCTCGCGGCCTGCGGAGCTTCAAGACGATCTTTGCAGAGCACCTTAGTGATGAGTGCCGTCGCCGCTTCTACAAGGACTGGTGGGGGCCACCCCACGGGGGGGCGCACGAGTGGGCTGGCCGTGCCTCCATCCCCAGCCCTGGGCTGGGACAGTGGCGGGGGGCAGGCGGGCGCAGTATCTGCAGCGCACGGCAGGCAGGAACGTGTGTGCAGGGGGGGTTGCCTTCGCTTCAGTGAGAGACAAGTGCCAGGGCACCAGAGTAGAGATCGGGATAGAGAAAGAGAGGAAGCGAGGGTTCTAATTAAGGGTTAAATTAAGGGACTAATTGGATGGAATGACAGAATTAGCCCAGAGCTTCCTAGCAGCCAGAGCGAAAAGGGGAAAGAGCCAGCTTACAAGCTCTTCTCATCAGAAAGAAAGGCATTTGGGGGCCTTAGATCTTCCCTGGCTCTAAGTCCTGAAAGGGAAGGCCCACCTGCCCAAGGAACCTCACACACACCCCCATCCTTATGGAGTTGGAGGCACTCCTGTTCTGGCGCTCTGTGGGAGGTGACAGGTTTGGGCCCCTGAGCCAGAGCAGGCTGGATGACCGCAGGCAAGCTGGCTGACCTCGTAGAGCCTCTTAGATTGTTCCCCCCCATCACA